TGAGCATCACATGTCTCAACCAGCGTAATCTATGAAATTCGATCACCTGCTCCAGTGAATGACCTCGATTAACTCGAACTCTACGTTTAACCTCAGCATTACTTGTCTGGTTTCCCCACCAGATTTGTGCAATGTGGTGTAGACAGCGATGATTGAACACCGCCAGTCTATGTTCATCCTGTTCCCGTAATGGTCAAGTCTCTGTATCGTAAAGCAGAACTGACCGAACTGCTGCAGCACACACAACTCTTCACGGACAATCGGATGTCTCGAAGACACCACAGATGTCTTAAGTGGGCAAATGCCAATCGAGCCATCTATATGTTTGTGGATACTTCATCCGTGATAGTTCGGTCAGGTGAGATGTAGCTGTCCAGATGCAAAATGTTCGGCTTCCTCTCCTACTTCCCCAGCGAGAGTGAAGATGGAGGCTGGGCAAACCCAGTATTTTAGCAACATTTTACACTTCGCATGTGCAAAATGCATATCAAACACAGCTGTACTAGGACTAAGAAAAGCTTACAACTCACTTCGACCTTCACTTATCATCACGATATCTGCATACCCAGATCAGACAGCCTTCTATCTAAGAGCAAATCGATGCCTTCATCCTCGCACTAGGATAGGGATGTTTCTAGAATCAAATCTATGGCAAAGTTGTGAAATAGAAATAGAGAGAAGGTAACCCTGACGAACATCACTTTCTTTCGTGAACTCGGGCGAAAAGGTGTCGTAAGCTGAGATTGAAAAATTGAAATACACTTATCGAGCATACCCTTCAGATAAAGGCAGCGCCAAAGTTTATAGTGGCCGACTGAGTGGAAGGCCGCTTTAAGATAGAGAAAGACAAAAATGATGGGTCTACAGAAGGAATGTCTGTGTTCTAAAATTTGACGAAGGGTGAATTTGTGGGAGATACAACCTCGGTCAGGCCTAAACCCGATTGGTTCTCATGCGTGCACCGTTCACGTGCGGCAGACAATCGACTGAGTATATTACCGGCGAGAAGTTCAGAGCCAATGTTGAGTAAACTGATTCCGCTGTGGTTTTTACAAGAGAAACTGTTGACTTTCTTGTAAATGGGAACGATAACCGAATCACATCATTCGGTCGAAACTTGTTTCCTCTCCCGTATTGAAACCAGGAAATTAGTCAACTCAGAAACCAGAGCTGGCCATCCCGAACTACGATTCACTCGATATCTTAACAACAGCCTTCAACTTTTCCCGAATATTATTGGCTTCTGTTAGTAGGCACTAACTCCTAAGTACTGATTGAAAACTCCAATCCGTCCTTCTTAACCGATGAGCATCACCATTACTATGTACGCTAACCGTGATATCACACCACATTGTTCCATTTTCCTATGTGCTGACCCTCTTTGGTTCACCTTGATCACGGTTTTGACTGAAAAAATTTCTTGCCTCGACAGAACAACCAGCAATCACTGTGACCGAGCAGCGGGGCGGATTCTGGAGCAAGAAAAAATGGTGGAAATCCCAGCTACCGGAGAAGAAACCACGAACGGCTTTGGAAAAACGTCAGTTGGAGTTGGAAAAAAAACGTAAAAAACGAATTAAGAAGAAGAAGCTTCGACAACGAATTGCTGAACAATTTGTGAGTGTCTACTCCACTTGTGTCTCATACTCCTCCGGGTTATTTGAACTTGTTCCAGCTGCCCACAACAAAGTGCTCAGAAGGCTACACCAGAAAAAAATGAAAGATAGAATTATGAAGGGACATTTGAATTGTTACCTAAAAAGAAGCTAAATGAAAATATTCACCGTACTTTCAGAGTAGAATAACAATAGTATTGAAAATACATAGGCCTCAAGGTCACGGATAGAAATACGGTCGTGAATAGATAAGTATGGTTTCATCGCTTAAGCGAGCATGAGTGATCAGAGGCGACGTGTTGTGTTTTCGACTGGCGAGCAATCTGTCCACATCAAAATGACACCAGCGTCCGTAGACAGTATGTTTGCTTGTTTGAATCAGTCCTGCTACCAAATAAGTCTGTCATACTCTTCCCTTTCCCATTACCTTACCGGTATTTTTTGGTTATGTAAGGGTTAACAGTCACACATCCACTGCTCTAAAAGGCAAGTGATAACCAAAAAGCCACACCAAAGTTTGCACAGTCTAATTATTCTCATGTAGGAAAAATTTGTCTAAAAGAAGAAGAAAATGTACGAAAAGGAAGTGTTTCATTTCGTCTGATAATAATTTTGAGTAGAATAGAATACAGCAAAGATCCTGGGGGAAAGTACATGTCACGCAACATTGTTTCAGTACCATTCTCTTTATGTTTTTACCGTGTACCAAGCCTATCAGGGACAAGATAAGGATTGCAGCAATTTTTTGTTTGTTTTTTGTTTGAGTACGAACAACTTCAATCAAGCTTGTTCACCACATTGTTTATCCGATTCGTCCTTATTCATTTCACACCGTGAAGAGCAGTCCTGTTCCCTTGTTGTTGAGTTCATTTATGGATAGTCACCGATCAATCTTATTTGTATGTCTTGTTCACAGAAAGGAGACGCGAAGCGCCGCTATCAGGAGGAATTCTACGATCTGGTCTACAATGCCGATACAACTCAAGACGACAAAAGTTGGGTGGAAAAAATTCAGGTGGGTTTCATCAATCCGATTCACCCGGAATAATGTTAATTTGACGGTTTTGTCCTGGATACAGGTTGTCGAGTGCCACACACACACACACACACAATTGTTTTAACTCTCATCCGTCTTCCCAACCGACGAATTCGTCCATATCAAAGGGTTTGCAAGACCACATTTCAGTTTGAACTTAACTGGATAGGGAAATTCTACCAATTATTCGACTGGGTGTATTTCATGGAATCTGCTCGCCCTCGACAAAATAGAAGTCACCTCTAGTTGGATGGAGAAATTCCGTGGCAGATTTCAGAGAGACCAATTTCAATTAAAAATGAACAAATAACACAACGCCCTGCAAGCGAGCACAATTTCATTCCGGAGTAATTTCGCTGCTGGTGCTTACTACAGAATACAAAACAGTTTATATACCACAGATGTTGATAATCTAACTTGATATCAATTCACTCTTGCGCTACCTTGGTTACTAGGTCAATGCCGGTCTGATGTAGACCTCCTCTTGCTGACAACGCAGGGGCTTTCGGCGATTGATGGAATAAAATGAAAACTGTTTGCCCATTTCATCTACTTAAAAGATGGAGTATTAAGGTCAAATAATAATAGTAATAATAATAATAATAATAATAATAATAATAGATATTTCCTCAACGATTAAGGACCACATGATTAATACTAAAGTCCCACAAAAACCATGGACATGATATGGTTCGAATAATTAAACCCCAACAACTATCTTTCCAACACCTCCCAGCAAAACTTCCACTTAGAGTAGCCACTCGTGGAAAGAAGTTGCATCGGCTGTACATGTGCGCGAGGTTCAACCGGGGCTGAGTATGTATCAAAATGACTGACACTAGGCAATCAAAGAAACAGGAAGTTTCAAGCACGGTGTGTGTGTGTGTGTAAGGGGGGGGGAGGAGAGATTAATCACTTATTTATTTTGAAATGAGTAGATAGTATTTTATCATCCCTTTCATGTTTTTTCGATTGGTCATTTGAGTAATGCTCTATTCCGCCGTAATTTTATTCCTCAGCTATATCCGATCGAACTGGAAGAAGTGTTGAATCACAATCAGTTCGACATTCCATTCCGAAATTTGCCCCTGTACAAAGGGAAACAGAAGGAGGATGAAGTGTCCCCCGAAAGCCGTCTTGCTGGTTACCTGAAGGTGAGTGATAAGTGGATGAGTAAAACAAGACCATGTGCTCAGCAAATAGCTGGAAGTAACATGATATCTCTCATCTCATACTACTTTTTATCATACGGAATGCACATGTGTATCATATTACGGAAGTAGCGGCCGATACATACGGAACGCCGTTTATTAATTCTCAGCTTGCAGATAGAACAGTAAAAAATTCGGAGGTAGGCTGTTCTACACATCTGCGTTTCTCCGATCAGACACTGTTTGATCCCAGCCGTTTATGAGGATTAAAGAGTCACGTGGTATGAATGATTATGTTGTATCCATATGTGATCCGTGGAGAATTTGGTATCCTGGTTCCATTACTCGCTCCAATATTCTCTATTCGAATTGAGTTAAACAAAACTTAAGCAGCTTATCACGTGGGATACTCACGCACAAATATCAGTTCGCTTCTACAGTAAGTAAGTAACTAAAATTGAGCATACACCAATGAGGCATTATATATATATATATATATATATATATATATATAAGGAGATTGCGCTCACGTCAAACTTGG